TGGATACAGGGGCTGATGTCACCATTATAACCATAAATGACTCCCTCTGCTTCCCACACTGGAAATTTAGACCAGGCTCCTTAATAAAAGGGGTAGGATGGAGCCAAGATACAAAAATCCCTGCCTGACCAGTTCACTGGAAGGATTTAGATGGTAATCGGGGCTCATTTAACCCCATGGTGGCTGATGTCTCACGTACTTTGTGGGGCAGAGACATTCTAGAGGATATGGGGGTAGTAATTACCACTGATGACAGGGCCTTTCTTGATGATGTCATCATTCATAATAAATCTGGCCTTTCTGGCAGAAACATTTATCATGCCAGCCCCATGTCCACAACTAGTCATCACCCCCAATTCTAAGGGCCACTGCTCCTCATGAGCCCTTGATGTGGGGGCTGCCTGACCCAATTGCCCTAACCTGGATGTTGGATGATGCCATTTGGGTAGAGCAGTGGCCTATCTTAGAACCCAAGCCAGACACACATTGGCTCCTTGTAGCAACAATTCCTCAACTATTCTATCTTGCTTCATGATCGGATAATTCAATTGAATTATACTTGGGCCCCTGTCCTGGCGCTCAACAATCGGTTCTTCAAAACCATTTGAAACTTCAAAAGTCTGTTCTCACTGACTTGGCTAGCCACCTACACTTTGCTAGGAGGTATTGTCTTAATTTTACTTCATCTCCTCAAGTGTCTCTTTCAGCATATATGACGCCAGAGAAAGGTTAACACTGCCACCGTCTGGGTACTCATGGCTCTTCAACAACATGGTCCTAAACCTCCCTGTGAGGTCCTACAGGCCTGGCTCACTGAGATACGTAAAGCCTGAATATAATTGCCTTCCCCTTGAACACCCAATGGACTCTTTCCAGGGGTTGGCCCTTTGCAAGCTGGTAGTCAATGATGGGTAAGAGCTTGCTAACCAAGCCATCCTAAGACAGGCATGGTCCATAATACTGGGGACCCCCTGAGGTGGGGCCAACAATGCCAAGACAAGAATCTTGGCTCCCACTAGAGCTTCACACAAAGAAAAAGTGTGGATATGTAGGAGGAAGTGCACATAAACAACCAGGGCATGCATGCTGCAAATGTTCCAAAAACACCTGGCTGAGGCAAACCTGTGTTCTGCCAAAAGACATAGAGATGGCATACACAAAAATGGCTTGATACAGAGAGCCAATGAGGAACAGACACGACCTATCAATGGACCAATGGGATACCAGGAGGGGGGATATAAGGGAGCCCCATATCTGCAATAAATGAGTCAGCAGTTGCTCGCACTGCCTGCTTCTCACCTGACTCCTGGTGTTTGTGTCATGACTCCACACCAATTCTCCCCGACCCAAGGGGTGCTCAAGGGTCCCCACAACAATATTAGGCATCCAGTAGCTTTGTTAGGACTCGTTTGATTTTTTGTTATATTCCAAAATGAAGAGAATTTCATAGACTACTATCATAAAAAAGGCTTAGGCTTTAACACTTTCATCTATTTAGGAAATCTTAGTCACTTAATAATGAAAGCACTAAATATAGGATGAACCATGTTTTTCTACAAAAACCAGTTTTAAAAGAAGCCATACACACAAAGTATGTAATTATTTGCAAATCACCATGCATCTTATTAGATAAATTTCCCATTAATATATGTTGTGTAAGTTCTTATCTGTTTTATGTAAGACACTGTTTAAAGATATTTGGTATCAATATAATGCCATTTAGAAATTTTTAGATGGATTTCAGAAACAATTTAATGTGAGCACCAAAATAAGTTCTAATATCATTGATTTTAGTTTGTTGGCACAAAACATAAATAAAAGTAGCCACACAGAAATTAGTAAACAATTTGTATTCCTCAGACCTGTACTGACATCTTGTGAAGAGAGTTTCCTGTGAAGTATGGCTTGTGTCACTTGAATGAGCTATAACACAGGTTTGATTTTAAGGTTGGAATAATTTTCTAAAATTGTTACCATTCACACATAAATGATTGTCCATAGAAGAATCCAAAATAGTCACAAAACTCTCAGAACTAATACTTTGTCTTGGTCAAATCAATACACAAAGAAATAGAACCAGTATAAGCAACAATAATAGGAACAAAGCAAGTTAATTATCATAATAAAACATAACATGATTGAAAGCCACATGCTTCTTGAGAATAGTTCTACTAAAAATACAAAATAATTTACTCTCATCTTCAACAGCTGAAAATGGTTGATGCTAATGTTGAAATTTTCAGAGATCTTATATTCCTTCCCTGAAGTTTTTTGAGCTGAGACGGTCTTCCTGCATTACTTTTATGATGTCAATCCAATGGGGGAAATCCATACTTTATGTAGAGAAATAAAGAGAATACTGTTTATGGGATAAAACAAGAAAAATTTTGTTTAAGCCTTAGTATGCATATAACAAAACCTGGAACATATGAAATTGGGTGCACTCCAATTCCCATACTATTAGGATATATTTTCTGAGTCATAGAAATTTATCAAGATTTCCTATATAATTCTTGGCAAAATGTACATTAGATCATCAGTTCCAAAAGTTTCACCAGCATGCTTAAGGATTAAGAAGACCAAGCTATACAACTATATTTCAAATCTATAATTTTTGGTTTTTATTGGTCCAGAAATTTTTAAAGTTCTGTATTGTGGAATTTATGTTGTAGAACACTGTGATATCCTGTACCTTTCTGAGGGTTATAAGCATACTTTCTATAGAACTTTGCATAAATCAAAATCTTTCCCATCAATTTATTTGGGCAATACTAATTCAGTATCTAGTCTAAGCTGGAATGTCAAATAACTATATTTTCTTCATTTGTTCATGATTTCCTTTCAAGATTTCTTGAATTTTTCTTTAATGGCATTTCTCAGTATTTAGCTTTCAGAAAAATGTATAAGATGCATATTGCCTTAATTGGCACTTAGGAAATAAAAGTTTATTTCTTCCTTTTAAAACATGAAGAACTTAGAAAACTTTAACTTTGTGCTGCCAGGGATTGCTCCCAGGGCCTAATGCATATCATGAAAGCACTAGACCCCTGAAATTCATTCTCAAAATGTTTAAATAATCTTTTTGTGAGACAGATCTCAGTAAGTTGCCTAGGCTGTCCTTGAACTCACTCTGCAGTCCAGGCAGGCACTGGATTCACAAATGTTATTCCTCAGTAGCTGAGATCACAGGCTTACACAGCTATACCTGGCTTACATATACTATGATGGAAGTATTTTGCTTCTTTTACCTAATGAAAGTCATGAAAATGCTTTCTAGGACTGACTACATTGCCTTCGGAAGCAAAGCGGAAATTCACTGGAAACTAATATTTAATACCTCATGAGAGGAAGTATTCATATTGTTTTTCTATTATCTTTTTTAAATTTTTTATTTTTTTATTTTTATTGTATGTGTATGCGTATATTGCCTGCCTGTAGGTAAGTACACCCATGTCGTGCAATGCCTGCAGAGGACAGGAGAGGTTGTTGGATCCCCTGGAAGTGGAGTTAGGGACAGTTGTTAGCTGCCATGTCGGTGCTGCATTTCAAACTCTGGTCTTCTGCAAGAAAGGTTAGTGTTCTTCAACCGGTGAGTCATCTCTCCAGTCCCTTATATTATCTTTTTAAAGTAGAGTCCAGGCTTAATAATAGTATGTTAAAATAGTGTTAAGCATGAGAATTAAGGCAAGAGAAGCAGTCAGAAGAATGTAAGGCATCTGAGAACGTGGATGTGGGTTTTTCAAAGACTGGCAGATGATCAGAGGCTGCACAGTACAAGGATGGGCTCCTCAAGGGACAGTTACTATTTTTCTCTAACTTTTATCTATTACTATAGCCGGGCGTGGTGGCACACGCCTTTAATCCCAGCACTCTGGAGGCAGAGGCAGGCAGATCTCTGTGAGTTCAAGTCCAGCCTGTTCTACACTAGAGAATGCCAAGCTAAATATTTTGTTGGAAAAAAAAAAAAAAAAAAAAAAAAAAAAAAATGCTTCCAGTGTGTGAAGAGTCACGCAGTTAAAACAGAAGCTAAATGATCGCAGAGATGTATAACTGAATGATAGTTTTCTCCCGTCAGGTCACCAACTTCACAGATCTCTGGGATGTGCCTTCCTGGAGGAATCTGTTTTAGTTTCACATACCTGAGTGTATGTTCCATCTTATATTAATTTTGCAGAGCATATTTCTGTGCCTACACCAGATATATAATCATTCTATGAAGTGGACAAAATATGCCTTTTGATTTTGACCAGAAATCTCTACTGCCCTTCTAAGAGCATCTCTTATGGTGTTTTGGAGTTCTAGCTGTCCCTGGTTTAACTTCAAGTCTCTGGATGACTTCTGCCCTCTCAGCCCTCCTCTGATTACTTCCACATCTAGGAGAGTAGCTTGGTGTTCTGTCAATAAAGGTATTTTTAAATAAGTAACTTGAATGAGTCCATGGAGATTAGATTTAACAATTTGTGCACTGGAGAGTTATTTTAATAGAAGCAGTTGATGAAAATCTCAGTGGAATGGCAATATCTACTACCCACAGAGAAAGAAAGTTGACAAGTGTCTACAAATTACAGCAGCTGAACAAAATTGAGTAACAAACTAGAGAAGAGGAGGGTGAACATCTAAAAACAGCTACAATGAAACTATAAGATGCTTTTCTTCATAGGATCTTGCAAAATTTCCAATCCAAGAATCAACACATGGGTTCTGGGGATAGAATAATGATAAATTTAAAGCTGTGTCTTCTTGGGTATCTTCCAACATCTTTATTGCAGCATATATACAATGTAAACTCTGATTCAAAATGGAATTAAAGGAAGGAAGACAAGAAAGTAGGGAGTGAGGAAATGGAAAGCAGAGAGAGGAGGGAGAGGAGAAAAGAGGGGGATAAGGAAGAGAGAGAGAGAGGGTAGGAGGAAGTAGAAAGAAATGAGAGACAGACCAAAAGGAGAAAAATGCAGCATGTTAAAAACAAAAAAAAACAAAAACAAAAAACAAAAAAACACTACAAACATTTGAAGGGGAGCGAATGAGGAAACATGAATTGGCAAGAACGTGGCTCATTATGGTACTGTTCGGTTATACTTCACATGTCTTTTACCTTGAGTATTCTAACATTCAAAGATGCTAGTACCTACCAAAATATACTTTAAAGCTATTGAACAAATGAAAAATAATTTAAAAATCAGACAACTAAAAGTCTTAGAGAAGTTATGAGTCACACCTCTGATGGAAGAATGAGATGATACTCAGAAACTAAGTGAAATAAATAAGCCCTATCTCTAATATGTATGACATGAAATTCACTAGAACAATATATTTTGAAATAGTTGAAAACACTTTATTCCAAAATGTACTTGACTTTATGCAATATGAAAAATCTATTAGTGAATTTCAATGTGATCCCAACTTTGTGTGAAACTCTGTGAATTTAATAATAGTTCCTTTTTACTGTACCAGGGAATTGATGACCTTGCCCATGCTAGGCAAATGTTTTTCCACTACACTCTCTCCCCAATCCATAAAGTTTTATTGCTATAATTTTTTTCCAAACTCAAATATCTTATAGATTCAAATTTGTTTTCTTAAGGCAACTACTAGCAAACTATTTTTTTCCTCTAAGTCTGTGTCTGTAAATGCAATTGGAAGTTTACTTTTTTCCAAATAAATGAACATAAAAGTTTAAATCTAACATTGTGTGCAACTTAATACACATTCTTTGTGTTTTCCAGTGTATAAAATGTATACTATGAAAGTTCCTTAGATACCATTTGAGACCAATGTGTAGAACCAAAATTTATTAGATCATGTGTTATTCCACAGATTGTGATGCATTTTGTATTAATTGTTTCTGTATTTTATGCATTAAAACTCTAGAAATTTCATTGATTTGTGAAACCTTTGACACAGATTCTTGGCAATGAAATGTTGTTGATGAATAATGCAAAAATTTTCTAAAACACCTGGTGTTTCGTTTTTAAGTTGGTCATAAACTGATGTTACCCATCAACCCAGGTAAGTGTTTCATCTGTTGTACAAACAATGTGATCAGAACAGGGTATTTTGCTTCTGAACTAATTTTAATACTGTCAAATATTTATAAGATCTCTGAATTGCAGTGTGTTTTTTTAAAAAATATATTTCTTCAATTTATTAAATACATGTTTTCATTGTCATATTGTTTTTGTCTGCAAACAGGATCTTAGTTCAAGACAAAAAAATTGTTTAACTACCTTTCATCATCATACAAATTGCTTCAAATTCATCTGGCAAGATTATTTGTTCTCTAGTATTAAGTGGTTCAAAATATTTTGTATTATTTGTGCTTTATGTATGAAAGGGAAAATAAGCTCAGTTATTTAAGAATTATAAACACCTCAATGACAGTGTAACTCTTCTAAAATGTCTTTAAAATTTAAAATTATATGTTGCTGTGTTTCTTTTAAATTTTGTAAAGGTGCTCTTAAATTGATACACTTTCAGTTGTTTTTTCAACAATGATTAGTTTAGGTCCTATTATATAATGTTAAAAATAAAGAAAATATTCTAGAATATTTGTTTAAATTTGTGCCATTAGGCTTCATAATTTCATATGAATTACTCAAGACTAACAATTCATAATACACCATAAGCTGTATTGCCATCTGGTAACATGATTTTCCAAAACAACGAACCACTGCTTAAGTTTCAAACAAAGCAAAACAAAATCTCTCCATAAATTACCTGGTACTTAAAGTTGATACATATGCAAGAGGTACACATTGCATTTTGTATTTATGTGTAAAACAGACATAAATTCCAAGCCCTGTTTAGACACTTTTCTTCACTCACTGTGATAAAACTGTCTGTCATGAACTCTGGTATTATGTTATTTAGTTCTGTTAGTCTACTCATGCTCTGTTCTTCCTCTCTCTATGAATCTTGTGCTGGACAGCTTCATTTGTCAACTTGACACACCTGGCTAAAAGGAACCTCAACTGAGGAACTTCCTCCACTGGATTGGCCTGTGGCCATCTTTGTGAAGAATTTTCCTGATTATTGAATGATGTGGGAGGGTCCAGCACATTGTGGTAGTTACTACTCTTGGGCAGGTGATCCTAGGTGGTATAAGGAAACAGGTTGATCTCAGGCCAGGTAAACAAGCCAGTAAGCAACGTTCTTCCATGGTCTCTTCTTCAGCTCCTGCCTCCTGGTCCCTTCCTTGAGTTCCTGCCATGACTCTGTCCATGATGAACTGTAACCTGGGTGATGGAAGGTAAAATAAACCCAAGTTAATTTTGGTCAATTTTTTTATCACAGCAGTAGAAGAAACTGAGACAAACTTCCATATATATACACATATCCACATAGACAAGCATCACTTGAGAGGAGACATTGAGAAAGGAAACCTCTCTTCCTTATTGCTCTGTCCACCACACACTTTAGGCCCTCAATAAGCATCTGAGAAACAAGTAGAGACACACTTCCTCCTTTTATCAGAATTAAATATATTGTCCTTGAAGTTAATTGTATGTAGTTGCTGAAAAGAAAAGTAACTACGATAAGCTTGGAAGAATTAAAAAAGAGTGTAGTGTGCTTAATATTAGTTGCGTCTTACATGATTGTCTTAAATTTAACAAGGTTATTTTACCATTAACTGCCAAAAACGACAGATTTTTTTTACCTGAACACATTTTTGTGATTGAAATTTTTAAACTAAAAGCAAAATTAACTGACACTACTGGCTGTACAACATGTTATTGACTTACAAAATTTAAAGTGAAGATATTTTTGAACCTGTCCTATAAGAACAAACATCAGCAACACTGCATTAGGAAGGAGCCATGAGCTCTTTAATGGAAATTTAGAATTGCAATTTGTGTAGGGAACACCAGAGTTGCCTGTGCCTGTGTGTTTAAGGTTAACTGTAGACCTCTGTGAGGGCTGTGTAATAATTGAAACTTAAGTAACATTTACAGAGACTGAAGAGACCAAAAGAAAATGTGTGTCATTATGCAAAATGACTAAGTACAAGTAATATAGTAGATAATTTGCATGTTCATTTCATAATATAAATGATTTAGTTTTAGGGTCCTCTTTATATTTCTAAAGTAATCTTGACTCAAGGGATCACCAATGGTTAGAAGAGGTATAAATTATAGAACGAGACATATGTTTAGCTGAGTCATACAGCTTTTGTTACAGCTAATGATTCCTTAAACAGTAATTGCATAAGGGAAACATTTTCTTTTCAAGCAAATAAGGCTTCTTGTATTTACTGTCACTTAATGACAGTAATGTGGAAAAATGTCTATATCTTGAAAGTTCTCCAAGAATACGCAATGGCTTTAAATTAGCATTGGTCAAACAAAATTATTATATTCATCAAAGTTTCCTAATGAATATGGATTCCAAGAAAAATGATACTGTGCCAATAGATTCTATAAATTCTATGTTTTCCTGAAATATTTAC